GGGCAGGACTACAAGGTGCTGCTCACGGTCATGCAGAGCAAATGTCATTTCTGGGTCTAGAATGCAGGCCTTCCCCCACCACACCCATTCCCAGGCCCATCTCTTCCTACCTCTGCTATGACCCCCACACGCACTCTTCCCATTCCAGCCTCCATGCCTTCGCTCCTGCTAGTCCCCTGCTCAGCATACCCTTCTCTCCTCTATACAAACCCCGCCCTACCCTCAAGTTCCAGCTGGAGTCCCACCTCAACCCAGGGGCTGGAGCAAAGATCCAGCGGCAAAGGTGCATGGGGTCTGAAAGGGAGGTAGTGAGTGTGGAAGAAAAGGTAGAGGCCTGATTTAAAACCTAACTCTGCCTCAAGTGGCTGTGTGACATGGGACAAGTCACTTTCCCTCTCTGGGCCTCAGTTTCCTAACCTTTTGGAGGTGAATAAGGAAAGATCGTTGAACTCAAGAAGCTTACAGTCTAGAAAGAGCCATAAGGTAAAACATGAAAGGACATTAAAGCTGTATCAATCCCAGAAAAAATTTAGGAAGAAAGACTTAGCATTTTCTCTGAGCCTTGAAGAATGGGTAAAATTCCAACAAGTAGAGGTAGAGGCGAGGGGAACACTCCAGGCGGAGGGAACAGCCTAAGCAAAGGCTTGGAGGCAGAAAGTTCAGGGTGTGTTCAGGGAAGAATGAGTGGCTAGATTCTGGTTTCTGAGTCAACAGCTCAAGTGCTTTTTGTAAGCGGGTGCCCAAGCTGGGCAGCCTCCAGTAAACACCTGTTTGCACAATCAAGGTCACACACAGGGGCGTGTTTGCACAATGACCTGTTTGCACAATCTCAGCCGACTGCTATATTCCAGCCAAACCAGGCCCTAGCAGACAGCACAGCCTCTGCTTCCAGACACTCACTCTAGCTAGCCCACCGGACCCCATGGCCCCTTCTTGGCCTACCCAGGAGCTCCACACTTCACAGGCAATAACTGAAACAGAAACAATCCAGCCCTCAGTAGCTGGGCTGCTGAGAATAAGATTCCCTCACCAGCGCTCCCTGATGGAGGATTCCAACACACAGAGGCCTCATCTGATGGAGGAGGGGGCAGGGGGCAAGAGAGCTGGAGGAGGAAGTATCCACAAAGCAGATACTGGGTGTGGGTGGAGGGGTGACTTGTCATGTGTCTTGTGCTTTTCTGCTCACCACTGTAAACACTTAGTAAGCATTTACTGTGCCTGACTGTTCCACGAGCCTTACATTTCACTCATCTGTCTCAAGAATCTTATAAAGCAGATGCTGTTATGCCCATTATAAAGATGACAAAACTGAGGCTCAGAGAGGTTAAACAACTTACCCAGGGTCACACAGTGGCAAAACCAAGCAGTCTGACTCCACAGCATATGGTCTTAACCTCTCTACACTCTGTCTCTTCCCTAAGGAAAGTTCTTCCTTAAATCTAACTTTCGTTTCCTTAAGTCTAACTTTCATTTCAGCTGCTGCCGCTCCATTTCCCAGTGCAGGTCCTCAATAGAGAATGGAGCATAAATGAGATCATTAAATATTGCTCCGAAATATTGAGTTGTAAACAAGGGAAAAATGAAGGCAATTTTATTGAACACCTACTATGTGCTGGCTCCTGTGCTAAGCCCCGTACTTCCAATAGCTCATTCAATTCTCACAAAACTCCTGGGAGGAGATATTATCCCTGTGACAGATAAGGAAACAGAGGCTTGGAGAGAGTAAACAACTTTTGCAAGATTCCACAGCCTAGTAGATATGTATTGAGTAGACTCTGTGTGCCCCACACTGTGCTGAGGCTGGAGGGACAGAGATGAGAATGCAATGTCTATCCTCAGAGAGTTCACAGTGAGGCTGGCCAGTTAGCTCAGTTGGTTAGAGCCCGGTGTTATAACACCAAGTTCAAGGGTTCAGATCCCTGTACCCGCTAGCCACCAAAAAAAGAGTTCACAGTCTAATGGAGGAGGCAGACCTCCAACACCAACCACAGCATTACAGGATCAACAAGGAGGGGGCCACCTGACACAGCTTGTCTAAGGTGCTGGAGGGACGCTCAGTGCAGGCTGAATGCCTGAGCTGGATCAGGAACAGGATTTGGCCAGGCAGAGGTGACAGGGAATCGGCAAGTGCAAAGGCACAGAGGTGTCCCAGAGCCTGCAGGAGGCAAGGAAATACAAGAAAATTAGACATGACTATAGCATGAAGTGCTGCGTCTGGGGAAGTGGAGGCCAGTGGCACAGGAGAGGAATTAAGATGCAAGGAAGGGCCTCTGAAGAAAGGCAGGGAGAGGAGACAAATTTGCAGAGTTGTTGACAAGACTGAGATGGGAGCTCCGCACCGGCAAAGGCTAAAGCTGCTTCTGCTCACGGTTGCATCCCTGCACCTGCTCTAGGAGCATGCTTTCTGAGTGACAATGAAAGGCCCATTCTCCTTCATTAAGAGCTGATTGGATGTGGGAGTGTGAAGAACAGGGAGAAAGGGATGACTCCTGGGTCCCCAGACTGGGTAACTTGGGGGAGGAGGATGAAGCACTTGGGGACTGGAGACAGACTAGGGGAAGTGGGGGGAAGATGCATCCCTTCAATCATTCATTCAACAAACATGAATTGAGGACCCACTATGTGAAAGGCAGTGTTGTAGACACTGGAGATAAAGTTTTGAACAAAACAGACAAAAACCATTGCCCCCATGGAACTTCCATTCTAGTGGGAGGGGGTTGGGGGTGGACAGCCAACATCAGATGGTGAAAAGGAATATGGGGAAAAAAGGGATAGGGGTGCAACTTTTTAAAAGGGTGGTCAGAGAAGGCCTCGATGAGAAGGTGACATTTGAGCAAAGGCCTGAAGAAGGAGAGGGAATGACCCATGTAGCTATTTGGGGGGAGAAATCCAGGCAAAAGAAACAGCAAGTGCAAAGGCCCTGAGGCAGGAGGCAGCATAAAGAGTTCAAGAAACAACAAGGAAAACAGAATGGCTGGAGCAAAGCAGCAAAACCGGAGAATAATAGGAGAGAGTGGGGGAGGTAATGGGGGTGCCAGGTCATACAGGGCTTTGTAGACCATTGAAAGGGCTTTCACTTTGACTCTGAGTGAGATGGGAGCCAGTGAAGGGTCTGAGACGGAGGATGACATGATCTGACTTCTGCTTGATCACTAACACACTAGCTACTGAAGGATCAATAGACAAGTTGAGAACAAGGATGAGTGGACACAGGAGACCAAGGAGGGGACTCTTTCAATGATCTAGGCAAGAGATAAGGGTGGCTTCGACCTGGCTGGTATTGGTTTAAGTGGTATTTCTATTTTCCAACATGATATCATGAAAATATTCAAACATAGAGCCAAGTTGTTTACAACAAATACCTGGATACCCAGGATTCTGGTTGTATTTGAAAGAAGAACCAATGGGACTTGCTGAGCATTATAGAGCCTGTGGGACATCTTGGGGAGGTTGTAGGAGGCAGTTGGGTAATTCAGTCTGGAACCAGAACTGCAGCCCAGGTCTGCCCCCTTGCACCAAACCCAGAAGCCCACTATTCCTAAAAAGGATCATAGGAGGGGGCAGCCAGATAGTTCAGTTGGTTAGAGCACAGCCTTATAACACCAAGGTCACGGATTCAGATCCCCATACTGGCCAGCCGGGGTCCCCCCACATACACAAAAAAAGAATAGGATCATAGGTTATGGACACTCTGTTGGTACCTAACCTTTTTTAGATTATGAATCCAATAAACTATGAGCAGTGTGATCCCTCTTCAGAAAATTATTCCTAAACAATTGCAGGGCAATCATGGGTACAGACAATGAAAGACATAAAATGTAGTCTATTTCACTTGGTTAAAAAGCATCCATTGTA